GGAGAATGAGGACAGAAAACATGCAATATCAGACACAGCATCAATAGACATAAAACGATATCTCTGGAGCCTCATAGACAAGTTGAAAAGTGAAATATTTAATGAAGCAAAGCAAGATATAAGTAGAATAGTTAGAGAAATACTAAGTGCCACCCAAGAAAAAAAAACAGATCGTGGAATGGAAGAACAGAAAAAAAGGGGAGAATTGTTTGATGGAGAAAATAGAGAAAACATAGAATACATGAAGCAAGTTCAAAGAGAATCCCAGGAAACTAAAAACTCTATTGAAAGCTGGCATAACAGCTTGAAAGAAGCAAGAGATAGATTATCTGAACTGGAGGATAGATTTGTAATGTGGGAGCATCAAATGAAAAACTTCTTTAAAATGACAAGGAAACAAACAGCAATAATACAAAGGCTAGAAGATGATAAGAGGATCTATAACTTAATTAAGAATGTAAAGGAAAAAGTAGGGACACAAACAAATGAACTACAAAGTCTATTCACAGAAATAATCCAGGAGAATTTCGCTAATTTAGCAAAAGGTAAAGATACTCAGATGTATGAGGCATACAGGACCCTGGCCACCTACAACCCAAACAGAACTACACCCAGGCATATAATAATAATCAAAATTCCAGAAATCCAATATAAGAACAGAATACTAAAAGCCAAGAAACAGATCACTTACAAGGGAACACCCATCAGAATTACAGCAGACTTCTTGGCACTAACCATCAAATCATGAAGAGTGTGGAGGGAAATAATTCAAGCTTTGAAAGATAATAACCTCCAGCCAAGATTGAGATATCCTGCACAACTGTCCCTCGAAATTGATGGAGAAACAAGATGCTTCCAGAATAAAGAGGAACTAGGGGAATTTGCAACCACCAATTCAACTCTACAGAGTATACTGCAGGACATTCTAAAAGAGAAAAATAACAAGATTCCAAAAACAGTAACCGAGAGACCACAATGAATGGAGCAGAAAGTGAAATGAAGAAGAAAAACTGACAACTAATGACGAAAAAGAGCTCAACAGAAGTGAGGCAGAGAAGGTTAGATATAATTTCTAATATAGATGGCCCAGATACCGTAACTTTAGGGAAAAAATAGAGAATAGCAGTCAGAGTGGATCAAGACGTAGGGTCCGCCGAGAGGCTCTTTATAGGAAATATAATTAGCCTGAAGAAGGTTATATGGACCAAAATCAAACATGAGAAAATGGAACTCGATGTGATAGGGAACCAGAGAGTAATAGGGGCAACTAGACCAGTATATATGGATAGGTTGAACAGACAGACTTTAATAAATGAAGAAATATAACTAGAAGTCCAGCCCAGGAGTGAGAAAGTTCAGAAATACTTAAGTAAATAGCAGGTTGCCCCCCCCCAATACAAAACCGTGAGTGTTGGGGAGACCCAAATATACACACTTCATTCTGGGGGAGTAAAAGGGAGGAATAGGCCTCAAAAACACCAACAGAAGATATAGCTAATAGTGTATTAGGAATTAAAACCCCTATTACTCGCACCACTCTGCTTGACTGGAACTCCTTCTGTCCTAGGCTGTATACAAGCACTGGATCTGAGGGGCACGGACGGCTGTCCATAGCGTAGGGGACACCTTTAACTCCCTATTAACTCAATCAGGATCCACATATGACTTATACTGTTATATCATGACTGATCTTAGTTAAATCTGACTTGTTTGATTGCTGCTTATTACTGACAGATTTTATTCAAAACCTGTAAGGTTGATGGCAACAAGTTGAGGAGTATAGACAAAAATACTGAAAATGACAAGGATTCACTACGATATCCATTCTGATTTGATTACTACCTGTTTTTGTAGCTCTACACTATCTCTAAAGATGTGTTTCTGTTAATTCTGTTATGTATTGATATGCTCAATTATACTTTATCTAATGATATAGCCAATTCTGTTGATGATACCAAGAAACAGCACAGTGAACAAGATACAGCAGATTTATGTCTTTTTAGTTTTATATGTCTATAGGAAAAGGTTTAGTTCTGTCTTGCTTTGTTATGTTTTTCCCTCTAACATAGAAAGGATAGAAATACATGTTAAGACTCAAGCTTACATAAAACCTATAAACAGTTTATGAGCACTAATCTGATGTCACATGATGAACTAAAACTTTGAAAGAAAGAAAGTGGCACTGCAGTACCCAGTCCTGATTCCGGAGTGTTATGATGTGAAATCCAGCAATATTATTAATCTTTGTTCAGAAGGATTTTAATCTAATATGCTCTGTTAGGTCTCAACATAAATGAAGATATGGATAAATGCATACATGTCTAAGTGTATAGGACTGATAGCCATAATACTTAGTTTTTGTTAGATAGTTGAACAGAACTGTTTTCAGTCTCCCTGGTTGAAATCCCATTTATATGTTCCACTTGTGTACCTTAAAAACTATTTATAGGGGGGCAATATGAATACATCAGCTAGTGATTTATTACTATTTCTTTTCTTTGAAAGTATGTACTATTTTTGCCCGTTTTCTATTTTGTTTTGTCTTTCTTTAAATAAAAAAAAAGAAAATCACACATCCAGAGCAATGCTCATCTTGAATACAAGAACCACTTGCAAAATTTCCCTTCAAATTTTTCCTTTCTTGCTACAGGAATAGAGCTACAAAATTAGGGTCGTTGTTCTGTATTATCATAAGGATCTTTTCTAAGATCAAATATGAGGTTCCATGGAAACATTTTTGCTTTACATAAGTTTTTATTTACTTTAGATTTACAATGGCATTACCTTATGGATTTGATATAATTTTCCAACTATTTTTTTGCAAGTGCATGATTTCTTTTTAACTGAAACATTTTTATTCCATGAGGTCATGTTGAAGATGGAATTGTTTCTAAAAGTGTCCAAGCATTCTTGCAATCCTCCAAGAGGGTGAAGGTAAGATTTAAACTCTCTTGCTGCTTATTGAACAATAATGTTATTTTTCAAATAGAGTAATCATTACCTTTGTCAAAGATAGTCACAGTGTGTTGCTCACTAACTTTAGGGTCCTAAAAGATAGCTGGTAAGTACCGTTAACCTAATTTCACACTGAACAGCCTGAGACTCAAAGACAGAAAGCAATTTCAGGAGTCCCTTCTCTAAAATCAAGGAACAATATTTTGCCATGAAGCATCTCATTTACTCACCAAAACTAATCTTGACCATGGAAACAAATTTTGAATAACCCTAAAAACACAAAACATCTGTATGTTAAGTGACAGAATACATCAAACCTTTATATGGGGTCAATAGCTAAAACAGTCTTTGTGGCTTCTAGAGATGGCAGATGGTGAAGACTTTTAAGCTTATGGCATGTTAAAATGTTTGTCTATTTTATTGCTCAGATTGTCTATTCTATTTGTTTGTCAAATGCTTGCATGGTTATAGATAAAAATGTGGTCCCAGAATTTAGTTTAAGTTTATAATTCTCATAAGAGATGCAAAGCAATATTCTCAATCAAACTTTCTACATAATGAGGCAGGTGTGCAAATTTCCAGGAAATACATCCACATAAGAGAAATTTCAAATTGAAGAGTAAGGACTCTAATCTCAATTTCATGGCTCAGCATGCTTAAACCAATATACTTTCATCACTCAGACAAATGTTTTCAAACGACGTCAGCCAAATCTGGGAAGGTCAATATACATTGAAATATATCATCCTTTGTCTATGTGAAGCACCAAATTTCCATTTGAAGAATTATGACTATTACAATAATCAGTAATCATTATGTACCTGTTAAACATGATTATATTACTATTTGTTCTAACATGACAATATGGAGAATAACAATTAAGGTTCAATATTTAAAAGAAAATATACATTAGAGGTTGGAGAACAAAAGATAAAGTAAAAATGTAATTGGCATTCTTGGCTACACTATGTATTAGCTGCCTCTCCAGAAGCAGGATTTTTGATATTTTTGGCCCTCTCTTACAAGTTAAATAGCTGAAATATAGGTTTTAAAAGGCAATGTTAATCAGATAGTTTGTGTTTAGTGAGAACTAAGGCAGTAACTATCTGCAGAAAAACTTAGAACATATGACATGTTTACCAGGTATTAATTAATAATATCATTGTCACCCTAACAGTAAACATTAGTCTTTAAGGGTCTTTAAGTATGAAACGGACTAAGTAGTACCAAGCACAAAGGTTGTCTTATGTATCGAAGGCAATCTTGTGTGAAAAAGATTTGGTATTGTGATTTACATAAAACACTAAAATTTTTATTATATTATCAACCGTTATCAATATACTAGACATAAGGAAAAATAGTAAAATTATTTTTCAATAGCATTTTGCATGTTCATTGCATTTTCTGCACTACTGCCCTGCCACTATTTACATGAACCATTACATATTTTGCAAACTGAGACTCTTGTCTTTGGCTTCTTCCTGTCACTACAGCTCACTGTGATAAACACAAGAAAAAGGAAGACATTGACCAGAGCTGGATCCAATATTTTTCCTTCTTAAAATTTAATTTTAAAATAATTTTCCAATTACTTTCAGAGTACCTTATTTCTTACTAATAAAGAATAATATTGTCTTTTTCATCAATGGCCACTTGACTTTAACTTTCTTTGCTAGATGAAGCTGTCAGTGTGTTTGAAAAATATTGCTTCTATTTGAGATATTAATAATCTCAATTAAGTATACTTAACTGGCTTCCTTTCTTGTGTGTTTACAAAAGTTCCTATAGAATCTTCCTCCAGAAGGAAACCTGAGTAATACACAAGAATTTATCTCTACATTTTATCTTCAAATCAAAGGGAAAAGAAGAAAAATTTATGTAATTTTACAACTCAATGGAATCTAGACATTTATTGTTTACTTGGATGAAGAAGTATGATAAATTCAAGGATATGTTAATATTTTACAGGTAATATAATTAATTTCAAAATTAAGCAGATGGTGGTTAAAAACTATGTGACAGAATTTGTTTTATTGGGGACCTAGAGATGCGGAAAAACATATTTGCTGTTGTTTTTGCTCATCTACATCATCTCCATGGTGGCAAGTGTGCTCATCCATATCACCATCAGTCAGCCCCCCTAACAGAACCCCCATGTACTTTTTCCTAGCCCATCTCTCCTTTATTGATGTCTGCTACTCCTCAGTCAATACCCCAAAGTTCATTAGAGATTCACTGCATGAAAAGAATACGAGCCTGTTCAATGCGTGTATGACTCAAGTCTTTGCAGACTATTTCATTGGCAGTATGGAGGTCATCCTGCTGACTGTCATGGCCTATGACCGCTATGTGGCCATCTGCAAGCCCTTGCCCTGTGCAACCATCATGAACTGGAGAGTGTACGGCCTGCTGGTGGAACTGTCCTGGGTGGGGGCCTTCTTCATGGAACCATACAGATCCTTTTCATCTTACCACTCCCTTTCTGGGGTTCAAATATCATGGATCACTTTATGTGTGATCTGAACCCTCTGCTGAGGCTGGCCTGCACTGATACCCACATTCTGGGGTTCTTCATAGCTGCCAACAGTGGCTTCATCTGTCTGTTAAATTTCCTGCTTCTCATGGACTCCTACATGGTCATTCTCTTCTCCATCAAGGCCCACAGTGTGGAAGGCAAGCAGAAAGCCCTCTCCACCTGTGCTTCCCACATCACAGTGATTGTCTTGTTCTGTGTGCTGTCCATATTTGTGTATCTAAGATCTGCAACGACTCTACCCACTGACAAAGCAGCCGCCATTTTCTACACCATGATAACTCCCATGCTAAATCCTCTGATCTACACTTTGAGAAATGCTCAGATGAAAAATGCTCGCAGGAATTTTTTGGGGAGGAAAATTCTTCCAGGTGACAAATAAATGTCTGGAGATCAAAATTATTTTCAAAGTTCAAAGGATCAAACAGACACTGTGTCAGTATCTCACAAAGGAGTACTTATAGGACATAGAAACATACTGCAATTTATAGATTTTACATTTTTATTTTAGTATTAAGAAATGTCTATGATAATAAAAAATGAGAATCACTGCAATTATGCTCATTTTATTCTATAAAAACACGGACAGTAGGGAAGTTCTCAAAATATATAATTGTGCTGATTTAGGAGCCATAGTATAACTGATTTTTTGGACAGTACTCTGAAGATCACTAATGAAAGTAATAAAAGTATGAATAACCTGAGATGGTTACTAAAATTTTTGAGACAAGATTTTGGCTGAGCACATGGTACTTGGTAGTTGAATATCTGTCCATAAAATCTAAACATGTTCATGCATATCCCTTGTGATTTTACATGTCAATTTGATGACCATTTCTTTCCAGGAAAATTATGCAATCAGTGATGGTTAAGCTTAATTATGGACACAATTGGTTTGAAAGAAAGCTAGAACATTATACAACTCACTGTTGGGTGTGCACTGATGGGTCACTGTGGCCTGGCCTTCAGTGACATGCCTGGTTGCCTTTTCCCTGTTCTGTTCTTTTGCTCTGCTTCCTTTCACTGTGACTTAAGCCTTACTGTTCCAGCAACCCTCTACCACCATGTACTTGCCTTGGGATGAATCTCTGAAACCATGAAAAAAATTAATCCTTTCTTAAGTTTAACAGAGCATGTGGATTGAATAATAATAACAGAAAAGCATGTCACTTTTGCAATTATACCCAACTTTATGTTTGGAAGACTTTACAACTAGTTTCCAGAAAGATTTTGGAAGATTTACTAAAGGAAGGGCAGAGAAACTCTAGAAAGCTCTAAACAGAGATAATGAATGATCATCTTCATAGCTGAGACCACCAGGATGCTGCTAGGAATGTAAACAGTAAATGTCTGGTCCAGGATGATTCAAGTGGGAACAAGGACTCCACTGGCAGTTACACTCTGGGAAGAACAACAACAAAAAATTCCCATTTTCCCCATGTGAAGAATACTGAGGAGATTGATCTTGTAAAGCAAAATTTTCAAGGCAGACTAAAATGCAGGCTGAGCTTGTTCATGTGTAACATACTATCAACTTCCCAGCTCAGATGCATGAACACAGAAACGCGTGCCTCTGGAAGCTCGTGCACGCATGCTGACCTCAGGAGGTGGAGGTCTGGTTCTGTTTTCAAAACTAAGAGAGAGAGCTGGGGCATCAAGCAGTGAAAAGCTTTCCTTGTGTGCTCTATGTTTTTCCTCATGTCACCACTCCCAAGATCCATATACACATGAATAAGGGGAAACAAAATTTGGGATAAAAGTACTTGTGTCTGCCTCAGAGATGGCACTGAATAAAAATTTTCTCTTTCCATCAATCCTTCAGGTCCTTAACAACCTAACTATAGGAGTTGACCTCTCCACTCTCAACTAATAGGTCAAGCCTATATTTACCTGACAAGCTTTGGGACTACCCTTTGTTTTTTCTGTAACTGAAGTTGGGTACCAAATGTCACCCATGAATAAAATGTGCCTCATGGCTTTTCTAATTTACACAGACAGAAATCAGGTATATAGGTAGTGACACGAATAGTGTAGGATAGTGTGGGAAACAACATGATATTAGCACAAATTAAACTCTTTAATATGTTCATTAAGAAAAGTTTCTTAAATGTTGCAGTTCACCAAGTTCAGGAAGACTCTATTTGGGTAGCTGACCACTCCAGAAGCAGAAAGTAAGTATATTATGTTTTTTTTTATTTTAAAGAAATTAAGACAAAACAGGACATAACAGAGCAGATCAGAACAGAACAATGTAAGCAAAACAGTATTACACCAGAAGACAACCCATAATTAACAGTAACTACCACCATGCCTCTTTCTTTGAAATACTTGAGTATAACTTCATATACAATGGTATCAAACATAACAAAATAGTATAAAAACATTCAAGAGAATGAGAGTATTACAGGGCTTTCAGAACCAAATAACAGAAAACAAACAATGGCTACTATCTTATCTCATTTCTCATAGGAAATTTGTTTATACTTTCACACGTAATAAAATTCAATAAGGTACAGCATGATAGAGCCAATGGAAACAGAAGAGCAAGACCATGGTAGGACTTCAGAGTAAGATGATATTATAATGAATTGTTTCCCTCAGATTAGCTGTTGATACCACCACAGATAATAAAATCAAAAAACCAGGACAAACACATTATAACTGCAATCATTATAAGGCTTCAAAACAATGTAATAGGAAATCATGATTGCCCTTAACTCTTATGTATGCTTACTATTTCTTACATTAGGGAGACTATATGATATTTATACATGATTTATTTCACTTATGAGTACGGTCTCAAGTTGTACCCATTTATTAGTAAATATCTTAATGTGATCATTCCTTATAGCTGAGTACTACTCCATTGTATAAAAATACTGCATCTTTTTTATCCATTCCTCAGTTGATGGACATGTAGGTTGTTTCCAAGATCTGGCTATTACAAATTGTGCTGCTATAAACATGGGTGCATGTACATCACTGTGGTATGATGCTTTCAGTTCTTCTGAGAATATGCCTAGAAGTGGATTAGCTGGGTTGAATGGAGCCTCCAGTCCCAGATTTTTGAGGAATCTCCAGACTGACCTCCATAGTTGTTGCACCAGTCTGCACTCTCACCAACAGTGCAGGAGAGTTCCTTTTTTACCCCATCCTCTTCAGCATTTGTTGGTAGTTTTCTTGATCCTGGCCATTCTTTCTGGAGAAGGATGGAATCTCAGTATGGTTTTAATTTGCATTTTTCTAATGACTAAAGATGATGAACATTTTTCATGTATTTATTTGCCATTTGTATTTCTTCATCTGAGAACTGTGTACTCATCTCAGATACCCATTTTTAGACTGGGTCGTTGAGTTTCAGGGATCTGACTTTTTAAAATTCTTTACATGTTTTAGACAGAAGTCCTTTATCAGAGGGACAGTTCACTAAGATTTTTTTCCAGTTTGTGGGTTTTCTTTTCACTATGCTGGAGACTTCTTTTGACATGGAGAAACTTTTTAATAAGAGGTGATCCCAGTTACTGATTCTGGGAAGTAGTTCCCATGTGGTTTGATTCCTATTCATGAATTCTCTACCTACCTGTATGTCTTCAAGATGTTTACCTACTTTGTCTTCCAGCAGATTTAGTGTTTCTATTTTAATATTCAGATATTTGATCCATTTAAATTTTAGATATGGTGATATGCATGGGTCTAGTTTCAGTTTTTGGCATATGGAGAGCCAGTTTTTCCAGCACCATTTATTAAAGAGACTGTCCTTTTTCCAATGAACATGTTTGGGCCATTTATCAAAGATAAGGTGGTTGAGTGGTGTTGGTAGTTGTGGTTTTATCTTCTAACCTATTCCATTGATCTTCGGCTCTGTTTTGATTCCAATACCATGTTGATTTTACTACTGTTGTTTTGTAGTATAACTTCAAATCAGGGATTCTGATGCCTCCTGCCTTGCCTTTGCTGCTTATAATTGCCTTTGTTATTCTAGGTCTCTTCTGCTTCCAGATTGATTTTAGGAGTGATTTCTCTGGATCTATGAGGTATGTTGATGGTATTTTCATTGGAATTGCATTGAATATGTATAGCAATTTTGGGAGAATGGCCATTTTTACAACATTTATTCTCCTTATCCATGAACAAGGGATGTCTTTCCATTTTCTGAGATTTTCTTAGATTTCTTTTTCAGGGTATTACAGTTTTCCCTGTACAGATCTTTTACTTCTTTCATGAGATTAACTCGTAAGTATTTCATTTTTCTGTATGCTAGTGTGAAAGGTGTGGCTTCTCTTATTTCTCTCTCCAAAATTTTGTTTTTAGTGCATAGAAATAATATTCATTTTGAGCATTCATTTTGTGTCCAGCTACACTGCTGAATTTATTTATTATATTTATATTATATCAATGGAGTTGTGGGGGTCTTTTAGGTAGAGTACCCTGTCATCTGCAAATAATGATAATTTAACTTCCTCTTTTACTCTCTTTACCCCTTTTATTTCTCTCTCTTGTCTTATTGCTCTAGCTAGTATTTCCAGTACTATATTGAATAGGCGCAGTGATAAGGGACATCCTTGTCATGTGCCTGATTTTAAGGTAAAGGCCTTCAGCTTCTGGTCATTTAGTATGATGCTGGATGTTGATTTGTCATAGATGGTCTTTATCACATTGAGGTAAAGACCATCTTTCCAATTTTCTGTAAGGTTCTTATCATGAATGAGTGTTGATCTTATCAAAAACTTTTTCTGCATCTATAGAAATGATCATGTGATTCTTACTTTTGGCTTTATTGATATGATGGATTACATTTATTGACTTGCGGGGGAGAAAATGGCGGCTAACTAGAGGATCGGGCTGAGAGTCTCTCCGGAGAAATCATATTAAAAGCTAGAATATCACAACATGGAGAGGGCCAGACAAATGGTAACGATTCTTATTAACCAAGACAGTGCAGCTGGAGGATTTAAAGTCGTGCTGAGACTGTGAAGGCTGAAAATGGGAAGATGCAAATCCTGCGCCTTTAAATCAACAGTTTAACCCATGGACGCAACAGGAAAAGCTGTGTTGGCTTTTGACTGCCCAGCTACACCAGAGGAGATTGTGAAAGACTCTCGAGCTCCAAAGCCAAACGCTGCTCCGCACTGTGCTGGGAGGGCACACTGCGCGGGTTTCTGACCCTTCCACACCGTACCGGGAGTGCACGCAGCGCGGATTTCTGACTGCTCTGCGCCGGGCCGCAAGTGCACGCCGCGCGGGTTTCCGACGGTTCCGCACTGAGCCGGGGCTGCACGCAGCGCGGATTTCTGACCCCTCCACGCCGTACAGGGAGTGCACGCATCGCGGATTTCTGACTGCTCCGCGCCGGGCCGCGAGTGCACGCCGCACGGGTTTCCGACGGTTCTGCACTGAGCCGGGGCTGCACGCAGCGCAGATTTCTGACCCCTCCACGCCGTACAGGGAGTACACGCAGCGCGGATTTCTGACTGCTCCGCGCCGGGCCGCGAGTGCACGCCGCGCGGGTTTCCGATGGTTCCGCACTGAGCCGGGAGTGCACGCAGCGCGGATTCCTGACCGTTCCACCCTGTACCGGGAATGCACGCAGCGTGGATTTCTGACCACTCCGCACTGTACCAGGCGCTGCGCGGATTTCTGACCATTCTGTGCTGTACGGGGAGTGCACGCTGCGCGGATCTCTGACCGATCAGTGCTGTGCTGGGAACGTGGGAAAGGTGGGCGGCGTGGACCCTGGTGAGTACTAGAGACCCTGCGACTGCCGGGGTTGGCCAGATAACATCTTGGAACGGGACAGTGCCCGCCACCACGGGGACATCAATAACACAGAGTCTGGTGGCAGCCATTTTACAGTTGGGCAGAACCTACAGCTCAGTGGCGTCACTGAGCCCCCTGTAGGGAGGGCTAGTGGAAGGCATCTTGTAATTGGGCAGAGCCTGAGTACGTGTTGGCTTCAGCCTCATACAGAGTTTGGGCAGTTCTGCTGTGCTGGTGCTCCTGACACAGAGAGGTCTGGAAGAGAACAGCTGAGATTTGGGCAGGACCCTGTGCCATAGTGACATTAGTCAGCTGCTTCTGGTACAAAGAGAACTGGCAGGAGATACTGGGGCTAACCCAAGCCTCTGCTTGGGGCCCAATGAGCGGATACAAAATAGTCACAACTCAGTGACAACCAGAAAGTACAGCCTAATTTAGGAACTAACTGGCACAGAGGCTAGAGACTAGCCTGTACTGCCCCTGCAGCCCAGTCTACCCCAGATAACAGTAAATTGGGGAGGACAGCAAAAACTCAAGCCAGCACGCTTCTGAAAGGGCCTAAGCAATTCGGAGAGGGCCAGAGAACTCCAGGACAGTCTGAAAGAAACCAGAAACATGACAAGAGATAAAAATAAAAAAAAGTCTCCAGCTGCCCAACAGGAGAAAATAAGCCCAGGAGAAGTAAACACCGAAGAGAACAAGCACAGTAACCATCCACTACTCGACACAGCATCAGCTGAAATTAAAAAGTACCTATATGATCTCATAGAGGAATTTAAAGCTGTACTCCTGATCCAAGTGAGGCAAGATATAAAGAGATTAATTAAAGAAATGACAAGCCCCGCCCAAGAGAACACAGATGGAAGAACTGAGGAAATCAGAAAAGAAAGAGAAGCATCTGAAGAAGAATTTAAGCGTAACCTAGAATACATGAAACAGATCCAAAGAGAATATCAGGAAACTAAAAACTCCATTGAACATTGGCAAAATGCCTTGACAGAAACTAAAGATAGCCTTCTGAAACTTGAAGAGAGATTTAGGACATATGAATGTGAAAGAAAAATCCTCTTAAAAATAACAAGGAACCAGAAAGAAGCAATTCTAAAACTGGAAGATGACAAAAAGATACACAACCTAAGAATAAAGAATGTGAGTGAGGAAGCAGGAACATCCAAAAATGAAATACAAAAAATATTCACAGAGATATTAAAGCAAAATTTCCCATGTATAGCAAAAAGAAATGATATCCAGATAAAAGAAGCATGCAGAACACCAGCTACCTATAACCAAAACAGATCTACGCCTAGACATATAATAATCGAGATCCCAGAAATCCACCAAAAAAACAGAATATTAAAAGCAGCCAGAGAAAAGATGCAGGTTACCTATAATGGGAAATCTATCAAAATAACAGCAGACTTATCAACACAAACTCTTAAGTCAAGAAGGGAGTGGGGAGAAATATTCCAAGTCCTGAAAGAAAAAAATATGCAACCAAAGTTCATATATCCATCAAAACTCTCTCTAAAAATTAATGAAGAAATAAGATACTTTCAAGACAAGGAGGAACTGTGGGAGTTTGTGGCCACCAATCCAACCCTACAGAGAATGCTGAAGGACATTACAGAGAAAGAGAGGAAGAGATACCAGGATTCCAACAACAGTGGCAGAGAGGCCTCAGTGAACGGGGCAGACAATGGAATGAGGGAATAAGGTGGACAAATTATAGCAGAAAAGTGGAGTAGCAGACATGAGGCAGGGACGGTAAGCTAGTCTTTAGTATAGACAGCTCTGAAACTATATTTTTTAAAAAAAAAGCAGAGGTCATTGCTAATGGTGTATAATGATTTAAAAGACACAGTAGCCCTAGTGCCATATTTAGATTGAATTTAATTTGTTCTGGTCTGTCCGCTCATGTCAGATTTGAGGACACAGACATCTTGACCCAAAAATAGCAGGCTATACCATGGTAACTATCCTTACTTTCCTATTAACTTAAACTGAAATCCTATAATACTTACATTGTCTTACTATGACTGATCTTAATTGAATCTGAATCGTAAGACTATGGGTTGGCCATGGCTGATTTTATTTGAAATTGGTATGCTTGTCAGTATCAACCCTAAAAGTAGAGGCAATTACTCTGAGGATGACAAGTTGTAAAGAATATCCATACTGGTATTAATTAGTAACAGCTTCCAAACCCTACAATGCTGCCAAAGTTAAGTTTTTATAAAAATAGGTGATACTATATTTAACTATAATAAGCCAGTGTGGTGGTCAAATCTATTGAAAATAACAAGAGGAAACATAGTAACTATGGAAGATCATCTATATTGTGGTCTTAAATGTTTTATCCATTGCATGTTTTTCTAGGAAATTGTATTGCTGGCTTGCTTATGACTTGGTATTCCCTATAACACAGAGAGGATAGATATATATGTAGAAATTCACACATGGGTTCTTTTTTTCTTTTTAATTATTTATGGGAACAGATTATATAATGTAAGATGTAATGAACAGATACTCTAAGGAAGAGACACTAGGAAACTCGAGGCTAATTTAGTAGCATTATGATAGAAATTCTAGCAATACTAATGTTTGCTGATTAGAATGACATTGGACTGGTTTCTTGAGTTCAATTTCAGCATATGTAGAGATGGGGACAGCTATCACAAAGAGAAGGAGAGATGAGTTGGTAGTTACTATTGTCTTCCCTAATTTGGTACTTGAGGACCTAAAAAGTCTTCAATGATTTGATTAGTTCTATAATATACACTAAGTAAATAAGGTGGATGAAGAAGGGGACAACTATTTGTAAAAAACTAGAGACAGTTAGATAGACAATCAAGATCTCCAGTGGGCTTCCTATGAAATCTGTATTTCTTTAAATTGTTTTTTTAACTGCTATGTTCTGTTTTGATATGTTTAATCTTACCCTCTTTGAGAAGTAAAACAAATGTGTAGGACTGATAACCATGTTACTGAGCTCTTGTTCGATCATAGAGCAGAAGGGTTTGTAGTGTCACTTTATGAATGTCATTCTAAATGCTTTAATTCCATAACATGAACAGCTACTTCTAAGATGACAATGTGTAACTTATCAACCAGCAATTTCTTACCGTTTGTTTTTCTGTAAGTTTGTATCATTTCTACCCTTTTTTAAAATCTCCATGTATTCTTTTGTTTCCTTTTCTTTAAATAAAAAATTAAAAAAAAAACATTTATTGACTTGCGTATGTTGGTCTATCCCTGGATGCCTGGGAAGAATCCTACGTGGTTGTGGTGTATAATCTTCTTGATGATTTGCTGCATCCTATTCGCCAATATTTTATTGAGGATTTTTGGATCTGTGTTCATTAGGGAGATTGGCCATAGTTTTCTTTTTAGTTGGGTCTTTCTCAGGTTTTGGTATTAGAGTAATATTTGCTTCCAGGATTGACTTAGGAAGAATTTCTTCACTTTCGATTTCATTGAAGAGTTTGAGGAGTGTCGGCATTAAGTCTTCTTTGTATTTCTTGTAAAATTCCACTGTGAATCCGTCTGGGCCTGGGTTCTTCTTTATAGGTAAGGACTTAATTACATTTTCAATTTCATTGAAAGAAATTTGGTTATTCAGCAGGTTTACATCTTCTTGACCCAGCTTTGGTACTTCATATATTTCAAAGAATCTGTCCGTTTCTTCTGTGTTATTGAACCTATGAGAGCAGAGGTTTTTGAGATAGGTGTTGATGATCTTCTGTATTTCCACAGGGTCTGTAGTCATTTCACCTTTTTTGTTCCTTATTGCATGAATTTGAGCTTTTTCTTCCCCTTTTTAAATAAGATTGACCAGGGGCTTATCAATTGTATTTATTCTTTCAAAGAACCACCTCTTTAATTCATTGATTCTTTGGATTGTTTTCTTAGTCTCTATTGCATTAATTTCTGCTCTGAGTTTTATGATATCCTGCCTTCTTTTGGTTTTGAACTTGACTTGCTCTTTTTTTTTCTAAATGTTTGAGGCACAGCATCAGGTTGTTCTTTGTATTAGTTCTGTTTTCCTGATGTGGGAACTCAGTGCAATAAATTTTCCTCTAAGCACTGCTTTCATTGTATCCCACAGATTCTGGTAAGTTGTATTCGTATTTTCATTTGCTTGTAGGTATTGTTTAATTTATTCTTTAATTTCCCCTGTGACCCACTAATTGCTCAAGAGTGTGTTATTCAGTTTCCATGTGTTCATGGGGTTTTTGCAGTTTCTTTTAAAATTAATTTCTAGTTATGGCACTATGATCTGATAACATGCAAGGGATAATTTCAACTTTTTGCATTTATTTAAATATGTTCTGTGGGTAAGTATGTGGTCTGTTTTAGAGCATGTCCCATGTACTGCTGAGAAGAATGTATATTCTGATGTTGTTGTATGGAACACTCTGTATATGTCTATCAAGTCCATTTGTTCACACATGTGATTTGGTTCTGTTATTCCCTTGCTGCTTTTCTGTCTGATTGATTTGTTCCTTGGTGTCTATGGTGTGTTAAGGCTTCTGTTATAATTGTGTTATTGTTAATATGACTTTTCATTTCTATTAATACTTTGTATAATTGGGGTGCTCTGGAATTTGGTGCATCTATATTTAAGATCGTTATGTCTTCCTTTTGAAGTTTCCCCCTAATCAGTATGTAATGACCTTCTTTATCTCTTAGGATCATTCTTGGTTTGAAGTTCACATTATCTGCAAGCAGGATAGCTACCCTGCTTTTATTTGGGTTCCTGTTGCATGTAGTATTGTTTTCCATCCTTTGACTTTCAGTCAGTGAGTTTTCTTTTGGGTTAGATGGGTTTCTTATAGACAGCATATGGCTGGATGTTATTTCTTGATCCATTCTGCCAGTCTCTGT